ATGGTTCAAGATAGGACCATTTAACCTGCACTTCTAGCAAAACCCCAACCCGGTAATGGCAATGCTGAGACCCATGATTCACTGTGATATAACAGAAGAAATAAGAGAAGTGACCAGGCTCTCTTGTGTCCTCATTCTGTCTCTCTGCCTCCCTCCCTCCCTCTCTAGGTCTCAGCTATCGCTGGCTAGCCTCAAACTTGCTACTTAGCTTGGCTGACCCTGAACTCCTGACCTTCCAGCTTCTACCTCCCAAGTGCCTGGGATTAAAAGCATGCTACCACACTTGATTTGCCTGGTGATGGAAATGGAAGGAAGATGTCGTGCACACTGGGCACACGCTCTACCGACTAGTCTTCATCCATGCTCCTGTTAGTGTCTTTTGTAAAACATTCCAACTCTTGACAGGTTTGTCTTAGTTGCCTCCTGAAGGGTTCATCTAGTAACCAGTTCACTGGGATCAGTTCTGAGCACATGAATTTCAGAAGGAATACAAAGTTCAGTTCCTAGTGGCCATCACAGGGGATCCAGCAGCCAAAACTCTGTTGAGTCACCACAAACCCTGTAGTGTGTCATCTAACATCTCAGGGTCTGCCCCTTCACTCACTGCTTTTGGTATCTGTGCTTTGCACTGTGATGCATGGACATGCCCCAAAGTCAGTTGTTATGTTTCCCTCCTCCCCTGTGTTGCCATGGTGTGTTAGTCAAGTCCAATTTCTTTCTTTCTTTCTTTCTTTCTTTCTTTCTTTTTTTCTTTTTGATTTTTCGAGACAGGGTTTCTCTGTATTGCTTTGGAGCCTGTCCTGAGGCTCACTCTGTACACCATGCTGGCTTCAAACTCACAGAGATCCACCCGTCTCTGCCTCCCGAGTGCTGGGACTAAAGGCATGCACCATCAATGCCTGGTGCAAGTCCAATTTCTTATTCTTGCTTTCTGCTCATATATCTTCACCATCCTGGAAGGATAGGACAAGGCCCTATTGGAGTTAGGTGCCCCTTCAGTTCCTGACCTAAAAGATGCTCAAACAGTGCGGGAATGACTTGGTCCTCAGGGTACAGTCACATGTCTGGGCTTTTTTGTTTTGTTTTGTTTTTCGAAGCAGGGTTTTGTTACTGGAAGTTTCTTGTCCTGCCGGGTCCCACTTTAGCCCCAAATGGAGACACAGAGGCTATATTAATTTATAAACTGTTGGCCAATCCTAGGGTTTCTTATTGGCTAGCTCTGTTCTAAATATTAACCCATTTCTATAAATCTATATATTTCTACATGGCCTTATCTTACTAGAAAACACCTGTTACATCCTATCCTCCTGGTGCCTCCATGGCATCTCCTCTTCTGGCGCCTCTCTGCCTACATTTCCCAGAATTCTTCTAGTCACCTAGTCCCACCTATCTTCCTGGCTCTACTGGCTATTTGACAGTGTTTTATTCATCAACCAATAAAAGAAACATATATACCGAAGAACATCCCCCATCTGGGTTTCTCTGCGGCTTTGGAACCTGTCCTGGAACTAGCTCTTTTAGACCAGAGCTGGAACTCACAGAGATTCACCTGCCTCTGCCTTCCTCCCGAGTGCTGGAATTAAAGGCCTGTACCACCACAGCCCAGCATGTCTGGGCTTTTTATGTGACTGTGGGAAGACTGTACCACTGCCCTGCCCCCTATGAGTACACAAGCTCTTTCATTGTCCTGGAGTGCCTGTCACCTGTCACCTCTCACCTCTTACCTCTCACACCCCTCCTTCCCTGGCCTAACTCCTTTTGACAACAGAAATTATGGTCACTCTTCAACAAGCTGCTCAAGGATCCACATACCAAAATAAATTACCCAGCTGTGAATCAAATCATGCCTCTACTACTAGCTAGCTAGCTCCCTTGGGTAATTTTTGTAATCTCACTGATCTTTGATTTTCTGATCTGTAAATTGGAAAGAAAACTATCCTACAGGATTTTGCTGAAACTGGAAGGATTTTTTGTTTTCTGTTTTTTTGTTTGTTTGTTATTGGGTTTCTGTTTGTTTGTTTGTTTGTTTTGATTTGTTAAGACATGGTTACTCACAGAGCTGGAGAGACAGCTCAACAGTTGAGAGCACTGGCTGCTCAATTCCCAGCACCCGAATGGCACCTAACAACTGTCTGTAATTCCAGTTCCAGGGGATCTGATGCCTTCACACCAGTGCACATAAAAATAAAGTTAGATGAATAATTTTTTAAAAGATGTGGTCGCTCACTATGTGACCCAGGCTGGCCTCTAACTTCTGGTGATCTTGCCTCAGCATCCAGAGCACTGTGAGTCTGAACATACACCACCACACTTGGCCATACCCTTCAGATATGAGATTTACATGAACAAAGGTATACAGAATGCTAACTATACAGCAGAGGATGAATAAACAGGACCTTAAAACTAGCTGTGCCTGTTCCCCAGTGCTGGAACTCTCCAGAACTCCTTTTGGTAAAGGCTTTCCTAGTGATGAAGAAACTTGCCAGTCTGCACAAAACGTGCTCTTCCTCTTCTAGAGATAACTTCTCCAAGGCTGAATTTTATCTCTACCAATCTTTGGCAAACATTTACTGCGCACTTGCTACCTGCCATGCTCCAAGCTAAACGCTGTAGATCCAAAGACTACAGAAGACTTCTGACCTACAAAGTGTAAAATCTAGTAGGAGCCAAATTTTTCCATAGACCATTTTTGCCCTTTGTTTCACAAAGTCCTAGATCTCACTCCTCCAGTTCAGGCATGTCCCTCCAGCCCAAAATTTCCACATTGTGTTACCCTTTCATTCAAACACATAGGGGCTAGAGACATGGCTCTGTAGTTAAGAGCACTTTCTGCCCTTCCAAGAGGACCAGAACATCCATCCATGTTCAGAGACTCACAACCACTTGAAAATCCAGCTCCAGGGTAACCCGAAGCCTCAAGCCTCCACAGGCATTGCACTCAGGTGCATATACCCACACACATATACATAAAAATAAATGAATAGGGGCTGGAGAGGTGACTCAGTGGTTAAGAGCACTGACTGCTCTTCCAAAGGACCTGAGTTCAATTCCTAGCACCCACAGGGCAATTCACAACTGTCTGTAACTCCAGTTCTGAGGAACGTAACACCCTCACATAGACACTTGTGCAGGCAAAACACCAATGCACATGAAATAAAAATAAATAAATTACTTTAAAATATTTTCATAAATTATTTTTAATAAATCTTTTAAAAAGTATACATGTCTCACCAGGTGTGGTGTTGCATGCCTTTAATGACAGCCAGAGGCAAGAGGAACTCTATGAGTTCCAAGGAGTTCCAGGGTAGCCAGAAATACAGAAAGAGACCCTGTCTCAAACAAACAAAAATGTACCCATCTCTGTTTCAGTAAATTACCCATCAAGTTGTTTGATCTCCATAGCAACTATATTCTGTAGGAACTCCCTACTTTACAAATTCAGAAACTAAAACACAGAAGGTTTTAGCAATTGGCTTAAGACCTTATGATTTGAAAACAAACCTTGTGGCTCCAGGCAAAAATAATTTTTTTATTTTATATAACCAAGTCCATTTAAATGAAAACAAACATTTATAGACAATATTTGGGAATTTGGGCATCGTATTTGTGTAGAGGTCAGACAGCAACTTTCAGGAATTGGTTCTTCCCTTTTACCTTGTTGAGGCAAAGATTTCTGTTTTCTGCTATTCTGAGTACTCAGGCTAGGGATTACAGGAAATTTCTCCTGTCTCTGGCTCCAACCTCTTGGTAAAAGAGCTAGGATACAGATGTATCAGGCTTTTTACCATGGGTAGTTCTGGGGTCAATTTCAGGTCATTAGGCTGGTGCAGTGCTTTGCCTGCTGAGTTATTGCAGCAGCCCCTTTACCTTTTACTTTTAGTTCATTCTTATTCCTTGTGTTCTGTAAATCTTGTTTTCTTTAGGCAAACATCTCTTTTTCTAGGTAATAAAACTCTTGTTGAAGATGGGATAAAGTTAGTCTGTCATATAATTGGGCTTAGAAATCTTCTAATACCTACAAAACCATAATACAGAATTATAAATAGCCTGCGTTCAGCTCTTAATGATAAATGACAGCAAAAACAAAATTTTAAGTTTAGTTTGTATGTATAGGTGTTTTGCCTGCATGTATGTCTATATACATAACATGTTCATGCCTGGTGCCTGTGGAGACTAGAAGATGACATTAGGTCTCCTGGGCCTGGAGTCAACAGAAGATTGTGAACCACCATGCGGGTGATGGGAATTGAACTAGGATCCTCTGGAAGGGCAGCCAGTGTCTCCTCCAATGGGATTTGAGATCCAGTCTGTCATATTCAAAGCAGTAGCTTCTTGGTCCCAGTTCATTACCTGATACAATAAGGAATCAAAAATTGATTCAGCAAATGAAAAAAGGGGGTGAGGAGTGGGGGGCTTTGTGGTTTTGACACAAAGAGTACCATAATGGGCTTTAAGTTCAAGCACATGATCTCCCTGTATCAGCCTCTATGGCACTGGGCTTAAAAGCATGTGCCTTCCCTTCCCTCCAGGGTGGCTTAAGAGCATGTGCTATCATTTGATGCTTAGTGGGGGGGGGACCTCACAGTCAATCACCCAGTGTCCCTGGGCGCTGAGAGCCTGCAGTTCGCGGGGGGGGGGGGGTGTTCGGGAACGCCTGCTCCGGTCCCCTGGAATCCCTGCTCCGCTTCTTTCTTCTCCCTCTCCATCCCCTCCGAGGATCCATCCTCCGGGATACCAGGCCGCCAGCAGCAGGCGAGGACCCGTGAGCGCGGGAGAGTTCCACCGAGAGATGCGCATGTGCAAGGGCCGGCGCACTGCGCATGCGGGAAGATGGCCGGCCCGGGAGCTTGAGCTCCTCCGCGGTCACCGGGTCCCCTCTGCACCTGAGCGCATCGCTGGACGAGTGGGACCGCGGCGATCCGTGGGTGGAGTCGCGGCGATCCGTGGGTGAAGCGGGCGGCCGGGGCGGCGCCGTAGGGGCCGTGGAGCCGGGGACGCGCGCGCCGATCCGCCGGGGAAGGCGGGAGGGCGCGTGGGGCGCGAGGGGCGCGGGGCAGCATGAGTCAGCAGCGACCGGCGCGGAGACTACCCAGCCTGCTGGTGGACCCGGCGCAGGAGACGGTGCGCCGCCGCTGTCGGGACCCCATCAACGTGGAGAGCCTACTGGTGAGCGCGAGCCACGACCCCCGAGAATCACGTGCCGCGGGGCGCGCTCTTTGCGCCGGGCCCTCTGCACCCTGTCGCTTGGGTGCCCCGGGTCTCCCCCTGCAGCTCCCCATTTCTCGAACCGCCTTGTGCTTCTTGCATATTTCCATTGCATTTATTTTGCGGGAGGGCGGGCGAGTGGGTTCTACGAGGCGCGTGTAGAAATGAGAAGGCAACTTAGGGAAGTCTGTTCCTTGCTTGGTCCATCTTTGTGGTTGGCGGGGTGGAACTCGGGTTGAGTTTGTAAAGCTTGGTGGCGAGTGCCTTAACCAGCTGAGCGATCTCTCCTGCCCATCTGTACGGTTTGACAGGGAAAATGAAAGAGCAGCTGTTCCCTCCATTCTGGGCTTCCAACTGTTCTCAGGGCCCCTGCGCTGGATACGTCCTTTGTCCGCTGTTTTCTCTCCAAGGCAAGCAGTATCCAAGCCGTTCTGGCCAGCCAGTCCCGTGCCAGATGGTTCCTGAGCGGTGTCTGACTTCTCACTCTAACCTTGAGATTGTTATTCTTAGAGTTTGTCAGAACAGACTCAGAAGTTGTGTGACTGGCCTGTGGCTAGGTAATGAGGAAACTGGCGGAAGCTGGGACTGACTGCAGGTCAGCTTTTCCCTAATATCTTTCCCTCCTTTAAAAAAATGATTTCTGCTCAGTATCCACTTCATCTTGCACTGTGTTGGGCAGACTTGAGTCTTAAACACTCTGTAATGTTGTTGTAAATAAGAGCCCTGTCGGGTTTTATCTATTCTAGTATGGGTTTCACACCTTGTGTAACAACCACCCACTCACTCTGGGCTGAGAAGCTCTCTTGTGTTTTTGACAGCCACCGTGGGGCCTCTTGTCCCCATCTCTTTCCTTTTCAGGCACGTGGGTGCCATCCAGGGTTCTCTACACTGTTTGTGTAGGTGATCACTCATTCACTACTCACGACTTGTGGCCTGTAACCGTGGTGGTTTCTTGAAAATTTCATAGAGACAATCTAACTGCTCACACTGGAAACACACACACACACGACTTCTCACACACACACAACTTAACTTTTCGAACTGCATCAGAAGATAATATCCTCTGAAGTCTTAGATATTCTTATCCAATCTGGTGATGTCAGCCACCTCGAGGTAACTCCCAAACCCACACATCTTTCCTAGAGCTTTCCAACGGTGTGTTAGATGTCCCTACTTAGATCTAAAACTTAAGGGGGGAAAAATGTCTGTGTGGATATACCGGTGCATACAGAGGCCAGGAGAGGCTGTTAGATCACCTGGGGCGGAACATAGTTAACTAGAGGTTATGAGCTGGCATGTGGATGATGGGAACTGAGCTCGGGCCTCTGGAAGAGCTGCAAGCACTTGTAACTTGCTGTGTGTCTCCAGCTGCAGGTTTCAAACTCTTGCATCCAAGGTCAACTTTATTCATGGTCCCCTTGCCTAGGAAAGCAACCTCTTTCTCACAAACCACCTCAGTGGTGCCATACCTACCCTGGTGCCCAAGCCAGCATACTGGCCAAGGGTGGTTACTTTTATATTTCCCAGAATCACCCCTCCCCCCAGTCTCTGAAGTAATTAACATCAGCTGCTATTCAGTGCTACAGTGCCATCTTGGCAGGGTTCCTGCCACTGTTGCTGCCCCTCTCCACCCATAACAGATGATCTCTCTTGAAAGTGTGTTTCTGATCCCATTTGGCCAGAGGAATCCCTTGCAAATTCCCTAGTGCTCCCTGGACAAGGTAGAAACCTCCTAACATAATCTAGCTTCAGGTTGGTTTTGTTTGTTAGTTTGTTTTGTTTTTTTGTTTGTTTGTTTTTTGAGACAGGGTTTCTCTGTGTAGCTTTGGAGCCTGTTCTGGAACTCGTTCTGTAGACCAGGCTAGCCTCATACTCACATACTGCCTCTGCCTTCTGAGTGCTGTGATTAAAGGGTTAGCCACCCCTGCCAGCAGATTTTCCTTTCTTAAATTATTCTGTGGTTCCATGCTCCATCCTCAGCCTCGTCTTCTCAAGCTGACACCTGTACTTTCCATATTGTCATAGAGGTGTCTGAGTCCAGATTCATGAGTAACTTGTCTTTGTCTTTAGCCCTTCCTTGGCCTCTAGGCTGTTCTGTTAGTCATCCTCTGTATGCCCCAGAGCATTCTGTGCTTGTATATTTCTGTCCATTTCATGCTATCATGAAGACCTGGCCATGCACAAAAAAATTAGGCAAGACATTAATAAAGTGGGGCTCTGTATTTTCTTGCCTGTAAAATAGTGACTTAACATGTTAGTGGTTCTTAATTAACTTTTTAAAATGCCAAAATTTAATAAGCCATTATGCAGAGCAGTTATATATTATGTGTCTCGCTGGGTCTTGCTTGCCAGGATAAATAGCTTAAGCCTGGTCTGGGCTCTGGAACAGGGAGAAAATAGCACTGGGTGGAGGTGAAGTTGGTTTGCATGTTAGAAGATAAGGAAGATGTGGATGGGTGACATGAATGCAGTCACCTTAGAGAGACCGCTGTTCTCTGAGCTCCTGAAGGAATACATTGCTCCCATGCAAGGAGCTGGTACAGAGAAGCCTCTGCACAGAGAGAATTAACCGTTTCAGAGACAGTGCCTAGGACATGCGTTTCTACAAGTCACTTTTCATTTTTTTCTCCCACCTTTAAAGCTTACAGCTAGGCGTGGTGACCCCGCTCTGTAATGCCAGCCCTTGGGAGGCAGAGGCCAAAGGCTGGTGCGTTAAAGGCCACCTGGGCTTCATAGCAAGCTCCAGGTCAGCCTGGACTGTACACTGAGATACTGTCCTGTCCTTACCCCAACCCTCCAAACCAAGAAGATTCTGAAGCCACTTAAAAGCCGTAGATATAAGGGGGATGGGACTAGGGGATGGTAATGCTGCCCCATGTGTTCCCAGATGTAGACACAGGCATTTCTAAATGTGGAAATGGAACAGCAGGAAAGTAATTTAGGATATGTCAGATGTGTAACTCACTCACCAAAGCCACTGGTGAGTGTTCTCTGGAAGCCCTGAGGTGTCTAGTAGTAGTCACCAGGGGAGGGCCAGAGCATCTGCCCTCTATCCATGTGGCAGCAAGATGGGTCAGTAGTGCCACGGAGTGTTAGCCAAACACGGTGAGCAGCACACTCATATGGTCCTAGCACCCAAGAGGCTGAAGCAGGAGGATGCCATGTTTAAAAACAGCCTGAGTTACATAGAATAGCCAGGACATGGTAGCAAGAAGCTGTTTGGGAAAAGAGGGATTTCATACACGGGAGAAGAAAAATGTTGGGGTTTGGGCCTGCCTCCTGTGTCACTGTGGGCAGTGTGTAAGGTATCTGGTAAGAGGAGGACATTCTTATGTCCCTGTACCCACCTGTGAAAGCAGAACTACCACCCCCCTAAAGCAAGTGGGCCACCGATAGGGAAACTGTCTGTGCAGAGTTTGGCCTCACTACTCTGCTGCAGCGGGCAGCAATGAGTGCACACTAACACTCCTGACTACTTGTTGACAGGCTTTTCACATCAGTGTGAGGAGGCTGGGATGTGTGCCTCAGTTAGGAACGTTTACTTGGCTTGCATGGAACTCCGGTTCAAGCCTCAGGACCAAATAAATGGGCATTGGGGAACATATCAGCAATCCCGGCACTCAAGAGATGGAGGCAGGAAGATCACAAATTCGAAATCATCCTTAGGGACAGGTTGAGTTTTGAGGCTAGCCTGGACTATGTGAGACCCTTTCTCAAGAAGCCTTGCAGGCCAGCAAGATAGCACAGTAAGTTATAACGCTTGCTGCCAGGCCTGACAGCCTGAATTGAAGCCCAGAGAACTGTATGGAGGAAGGAGAGGCCAACTCTACAGAGTTGTCCTCTGACTTCCATATGTACACCATGACACATCCACACACAAGATACATAAATGTAATGGGTGGGTGGGGGGCCTTGTTCCGGTACCCAGCCCCTGTCTCATACTATGTTTGGAGAAGGTTCACGTGTAAAAATAGCAATGACAGTTGGTCACCCGCATCTCTGGTAGACTTTCACAGGGAGGGCCTGCTTCAGAGTTCTGATGTTGGATACCATTGCCAGCAGTCCTCACCCTTGGGAGAAGTGTCCAAGTTCAGGGTTGCACACCCAACAGGCCAAGTGCTCATTGCAGACCTAGACTGTCCTAAACTGGTTTTGTGGCAGGATGTCATCTCAAGTTAACCTGCTACCAGATGTCGTTATCTTGTCAGAGGTGACAAGAATCACCTGCAGAGGCTCAATGGCTCTTCTCTTTCCCACCTGGCCTTTGGCTGCCCCGTCCCTGACCCTTTAGCTAGCTTGCTGTTCCATTTGTGACACGATTCTCAACATGAATGGGAGTGTGTTGTGATCTTATCCAGAAGTCTTTGGTAGGTCTCTGCTGGTTAAAACAAGACTTCAGCATGATCTTGTTGTGGTTGGTTATCTTTCCAGCTACAAAGCTGGACCACTCCCACATGGCCATAGTGTGTGCCTAGGCAGGGAGCAAAAACAAGTCCTAAATGTATTGCAGATCATCTTTCCAGTCTTTCAGTAGTCTCCGAGTACCTGGCAAAAGGGGGAGACTGATACTAGGGCTGACACCAATTGCCTGTTTGTTTTCTGAATTTAACCATATTTTTATCTCTCTATCCATAGCTTGTGCCGCTTATTATTATTTTTTTTTTTTGAAGGCTTCTGATTGTTCATTAATGGGGTTGCATGGCTGACTGAGCACATTTTGGGGGCTGCTTAAATAGCAGGGTGGAGCAGGGGCCGGTGAACCTTGACTGGTATGCACAAATTCCACCCCTCCAAGCCCTTTAGGTCTTGGGGTCGCCATGTCCTAACCATCATCCTTTGCCATCTCTCCTGAGCGCCTGCCTGCTGAGGTCTGTCAGGAATTGTTTCCCTCTTAAGTATCCTGTTTTCCATCATCCTTCCTTTATTCACACTGAAGCATGTACAGCCTGAGAGGCCTGAGTCTGGGTGGGTCCTAAGAGTGGGTGGTCACAGACCAGGTGCAATTTGAAAGACTCCTTTTCTCTCGCCCTTATGCTTCAGGTGGAAAAAAAGGCCTTAAAAAAACAAACAAAAATCCCAACTGTACCATGGCCAGGCATGGTAGCACAGGCCTTTAATTCCAGCACTCAGCACACAGAGGCAGTTGGATCTCAGTTCAAGGCCAGCCTGGTCTACAAAGCAAGATCAGGGGCAACCAGAGCTGTTCCACAGAGAAGCCATGTCCGGGGATGGGGGTGGGGGGGAAGTATCTATAACTGTATTGTAGAACAAAAGTAATTCATTTGCATTGCTGTTCATAAAATGCTGAGTTTATGTTTTCTTTTTTCCAGCCATCAAAAATAAGGATTAATCTAGAAGAAAATGTGCAGTATGTGTCCATGAGAAGTAAGTTGACTCCTAAGTAGGTTTGGTTCAAATGTCCCATAGTTAACATGGTTTGTTTGTTTGGTTGGTTTTTTGTTTTGTTTTTTGAGACAGGGTTTCTCTCTGTAACCTGGCAACTTGGTTGTTTTTGAGTGTACACAAGGTCACAGCGAAGGGTACCTTGGTGGCTGAAATTGAGGTAGGTGGCAGTACTGTGCCTGTCACCGTAGCCTCCTATCCACGTGGTTCCTTGTGGCCCCTTCACTCTTCCTGGCTTTCACTCTGTCATAGGTTCATGTTTAGGGTATCGGATGATCTTTGTAATTGATGGCCCCTTCATTGATTTCCTCTGGATTTGGCCCTTATTGCAGGCATACCTTTCATTTACAGATGCCAAGATATAGATCCTACTACATTTTTTGTTTCCCTCAGCATCTGCTACCATCTCCCCTGTAGCTGGTCAGCAAGTTGGGTCAGCTTGACCCTTGAGGTGTTTCTTTCAACTGTCCCAACACTAGCTGATAATAACATCTGTGCATGAGTGACCAAGCTTCAAAACAGAGCCGTGGATTGTCATCCATGATGCATGAGTAGGTTAAGACCCAGAAAGGTTAAGTGGCTTGCCCAAAGTCAGCATCTGGTACCATGCATATAGCTCTGGAGCCACATGTTCATCCTGTCCCTGTAGATTGCTACCTCTAACTGCTAGTACTTGCCCTCCCAAGCCCAGTAAGGGCTCTCCTGCCTCTTCCCCTCTGGCCTGGACCCCCAAGTGTGCCCAGTTCTCAGATGCTGCTTTGTCCCTCCTTGGAGTGGGGAGCACCGTGCTTCATCTTTCTGTGATGCTCCCAGCATCCTCCCATACGAACATCTGCAGGTCTCCCCTCCAGTAAAGATGGCACACTCCATGTTCTCCTCTGACTTTGAATACCATTCATTCAGCATCACTGTTTACATCAGGGCCCCCTATCAGGCCCATGCAGTGCTCTTGCTTGAGGAGCTGCCCCCAAAGCAGCCCATGTTAGAGATGATGGGTTAGATTTGTTCTTTATGAAGTGGCTGACATCCTTGGAATGTGCTTAACTTACGCTAATAAGACCAAATGTACCCAATAAACGTCTAGCCAGTGAGTGAGCATAAAATGAGAGAGATGAAGCCCGGCATGTCTTGTGAACATCATTCGATATCATGTTCCCAAGTCCTGGGATAGCTCAGCACATTCTCCACAAACTTAAACATGCAGCCATTTAATAATGAAGCACACCTTTAATCCCAGCACTCTTGCGGCAAAGGCAGGTCCCTGAGTTCAAGGCCAGCCTGGTCTAAAGAGCAAGTTTCAGAACTGCCAGGGCTACACGGAGAAACCCTGTCTTGAAAAACAACAGTCTTGAAAAACAACAAAAAGGAATAATGAGTGAAATACATTTATTCATACATCATAATCACAATATTAAAAGAGCATACTATAAAATGCTATATTCCTACTTTTGCTTTTAAAAACTGAAGCCTAGAGAGAGGCTCAGTAGTTAAGAGCCCATGTTGCTACTCCAGAGGACCCAGCACCTACATAGTGGCTCGCAACCACTGCAACTCCAGTCCCAAGGGACCCCATGCCCTTTTCTAACCTCAGTGGGCGCTAGACACACACATGATACACACATTCAAGCAAAGCACTCATCCACATAAGTAAATATTTTTAATTTTAAAACTATACATATGAGCGGAGGACAAGAAAATAAGATATAGTAAATATTTTTAATAAGTAAAAAATTTTTTTAATTAAGGGAAAAAACTATATATACATCTGAGTGGAGGAAGTTGCTCAGTGGTAATGTGCTTGCCTGGCCTCTATGAAGCCAGGCTCTTGCCTCAACATGAATAAAAACTAGATATTGACACACAAATGTGTGTTGGCAAATTATTTGTGTGAAATGAAGGCTTCTGATCCCAGAATCATTTCTAATCCTCTTCCTGAGAAGTAGTGCAACAGTGGTTGTAGAAATTTCTTGGAGGGATATGGACTTGTAAAAATGGTTATTAATGGAAACTGACACCAGCCTTTATTGAAACCCAATGGTTTTGCTTAGACCAGCTGACCATTTGCCTTTCATCCAGTTAGAGAAGTGTTTCCATAGAAACTATCAGGCGTTTCTGTGGCCTTCTGCTCCAATCCTGAGGGAATAAGCCGCTGTCTGAGAAGGCTGAGAGGTGTCGGCTCACGCGTGGTGCTGTGCTCTCAATTGCAGAGGCTTTGAAAGAGAAGAGGCCCCGCTTCGATGTGTCTCTGGTGTACTTAACTCGCAAGTTTATGGATCTTGTCAGGTCTGCCCCTGGGGGCATTCTCGACCTAAACAAGGTTGCCACAAAACTGGGAGTCCGGAAACGGCGCGTGTATGACATCACCAACGTTCTGGACGGCATCGAGCTGGTAGAAAAGAAGTCCAAGAACCACATCCGGTGGATGTGAGTTTATGTCTGTCCTTCCTCTTCTGTCTGTCCTTCCCCTTCTCATTGACGTCTGCCCAAGAGCAGCAGCCTTCAGGAATAGAAAATGAGGTTTTTATGATTCTTCTTAGGCTAAGATTGATCCATTAAGGTTTTCTTGTTATCTCACAGTGTACTTAAATGTATGGGACTGCTGAGGTCTAAGTGGGGACTTTAGGTGTAAAATATCATTCAGATTGTATGTGAAGTTAAGTGGAATAAGGTGGTTAATTAATTTACCTATAAAATCATAAGAATGAAATGTCTGATAAGAGAGGGGATTTTTTTTTTTAAGTGTATTTCCTTAGTGTGAATTAATAACGGAAGACATGATTCCCACGGGGCCATATAGTAGTACACAGTCAGGAACCCAGTCCCTCCTGGCTCTGATTTCGTCTTTCTGGGGCAGAGCAGATGCCAGTATTCTTAGCAGGTCTACTGCATGACTGGCATGACTGAGGTGCTGGGGCTGGCAAGCTGACACACTGCCCCGAGTGTGAAAACAGACTTCAGGTGCAAAAGGCATTTGCTAAAGAGGTGACATGATTAGGAAGGATCTTGTGCAGAGAAACCCTGAAGATAAGACACAGACAGAGCCATGTGTGTACAGAGAGAAAAAAAAGCTGTATACTTAGGAAAAAGAATTCCAGCATTGGAGTACATGAGAGGTACAATAGGCAGTAAAACCCAGAGATCATCAGTGACTATACAAGTGGTAGAGGTCGGTCTTCTTGAAGGACACTGTTGTGGAACAAAATACATCAACTCTGATGATAACGCTGTCCTTCAGGGTACTGCATCAATCATTCTGAACTTTAATCCCAGCACTCAGGAGGCAGAGGCAGGGACAGGTAGCAGCCAAGGCTACCTAGAGAGACTGGCCCAAGAAAAGAAGAAGGACGGGCATGACGGCATAGGCGGTATAAAAGGAAGTGCAGACACTCCCATGTAGCCAGTCCTCCCTCCGCACACACCTTTGCTCCCTTGCTCCCCTCCTGGCAGCTGCTGACCTAGTGTCTGTTTCCATCTGCAGAGGATCCGATCTGAACAGCTTCGGAGCTGCTCCCCAGCAGAAGAAACTGCAGGCTGAGCTTTCCGACCTGTCGGCGATGGAGGACGCCTTGGACGAGTTGATTAAAGATTGCGCCCAGCAGCTGTTGGAGTTAACAGACGACAAAGAAAACGAAAGATATCCTTCCACCCACTTCTGCTGCCAGAGTAGATAGTGTCTTAGGGAGAGCTTGAGTGTTTAATTTTCATGTCTGGATATAAAATCGGGCCCTTTAAAGTTAAAGCAAAGGAAAGTGTAGTGCTGTAGCCTCCAGCACTTGAGAGCAGTCAATGTTGCGGCTGCTCTGCGCTCCTGGGTCAAGTCTGCATGATGATAGCTGGCAGTGACATGCCCAGTTTGCCCTTGCATCTTAAATTAAGGAGTGTTTGTTTGTTTATTTGTTTGTTGGGGTTTTCTTTTGGATTTTATTTTTCATAATCTCTTTCCTGGTTGGTAAAATGCTTGTCAGCTTTTGTGGAAATCGGGTTCTCCCTAATTTGTGAACTAGTGTATCTCTGAAACAGAACATGCTGCTGCTGCTGCTGTCGTTCTGTGCTCATCACTCTAGGCAGAAACCTTGTGGAACAGGAACTGGGAAAGCCTGGTCCTTGGTATCCCACCCCCCCAGCATCCCAGACTGTCTATGGCCTTCAGTGCCCTCTGTGAGTGTCGGTAATTCCTACTCCCTCCGCTCTCCATGGCAGTCAAATCCTATTACCACAGGACAGAGCTTAGAAAATCAAAGCCAAGGCTCGCTGTGCTAGCTAACCAGAGAGTCTATAGTCTGAAAGGAGGAAAACCAGAGCAACTGGACCCTGTGAATATAAAGGGTCTGGCAATGTCACAGAAGTAGTTGAAAGGCACTCGGTGACAGAAATGCACTTAGAGGGAGATCACGGATGTGTGATCATGAGAGCTTGCTCTTCTGTTCTGTGAACTTCTTTTTTTTCCTGTCTTCTGGAGGATTCTTACCCAAACCCTGAATGCTTTTTTCTCAAGTTCTCATAGTAAGAGCCAACACTAAATTCTTAACAGTGAGTGAGAATTCACACTGAATATGTTGCAGGTGGGAATCTGAGCGTAGTGCTTTCCCCTTGTTTGTGGTTTTGCTTTCTATAACTTTTGTTGCCCATAATCAGATAATGAGGTAAAAAAATATCACGTGAAAGTTCTAGAAGTAATGACTTTCAGTATGCTGTATGTTATAATAACACTCCCTTATTATTATTGATTTCCTACTTTGCCCAATTTATAAATTCATCCACACTGTAGAAGTGTATGTGTAGGCAAATTCATGATATACATAGGGTTTGGTATTGGTCCATGACTTTGGGCATCTACTGGGGATTTGGGACATCCATCCACTACTCTGCCCCACTCCAAGGTGATAATTACCTTTGTGAGTTGTGTTTATGTTCAGTTTTGGGGGCTTTATTAGTATCTTTCTCCAGAAATTGCTCCAGTCAGTATTTAGTTTAAAAGAATTCTTTGTTATAAATATTTTAAAACACCATAAAATCTTAAGAATTCGTTTTGAAGTAATAATTACCCTGAAGTTTTAGGGTTTTGTTTGTTTGTTTGTTTGTTTGTTTTTTCTGTTTCCCTTCATTATAGGCTTGTGTCCCATAAAGGCTAAGCTGTTCTTGTACCTGCATTCATGTAAGAAATGGTGATCTGGCCACATGTAGTGGTGCATGCCTTTATTCCCAGCACTCAGAGTCAGAGAAAAGCAGACCTCTTCAGTACAAGGCTAGCCTGGTCTATATAGCAAGTTCCAAGCCAACCAGAGCTACATAGTGAGACTTTGCCTCAAAAAACCAGGGACGGGGTTGGGGTGATGACATGTTCATTTTTCAGTTCCTTGACTATGTTTCACACTAGCTTACGTAACCTATCAGGATATCCACAGCATCCAAGCCTTCCATGAACAGATTGTTATTGCTGTGAAGGCTCCAGAGGAAACCAGACTGGACGTCCCAGCTCCCAGAGAAGTAGGTAGTGCTGTGCTGCAGGAAGAATTTAAAAAGGGAGGTGGGTTAGCTGCCAAGTCTGTGACCTCAGCAGTCAATTGTCACCTATGTCCTTGTCATGCTACATACCTGTTAGCTTAACCATGAGTGAAGTAGTCCTTGTAACCTCAGAGAGGAGAGAAGCAAGCACAGAGAAGCAGGTGTGCTTCAGGAGCCAGCAAGACCAGGCATAGGGCAGAGTTTGGCTTGCAAGTGCCCTCAGCCATCCTGCTGCTGTCCAGCTACAAAAGAAATCTCTCCATTGGCTTGGCCTTGATCTTCAAGTTCCAAAAATAATAGATGGAACAGTCGGAGCTTTGGGGAACTAGTCTGCTACCAACTCACCAAAGACCTTAAGAGTAATTTGGAACACTGAGTCACAGATGTAGAACCTCTGTGCAAGGCCAGTCTTCCTATCTGCTGCCAACTGCTCCAGGAAGGTTTGTGTTGAGAGTCATTGTCACCAGAAGGCTACTTGATGAGGATGGAGTCCAAAGCAAAGCTGGCGGCCCTTCTAGCCATTCTGACTGCCGGATAGCCCCCATGCTGCTCATCGCCAACCATCATACCATGTCATGGTGGCAAAGATTATTCCCACCACCCTCCTTTTGTCCCCAGCAGAACACTCTTCAAATGAGACCCTATCACCTGACAGTGTGTCATCAGTCATGAAGGAGCATGCACTTTTCCCTTGGACCCATTCAGATTGTGATTTGGTGGCATTCCCTGCTCTGATTTGGATTTAGACAAGTGTCCTACTAACATATTTAGGATGAGTTCTCCCACAGACACTGAAACTCTTTAGACACTAATCTTGTAGGACAGCTTTTCTTTGGGGGCATGGTAATCCATTCTATAGGAATTGGCAGGGTTTACTCTCCCAGTGCTCTGAGCTGCTTGCCTGGAATTGCTAACTCGCTCTGAACCTTTGAGCACACCCAGAGCCTCCCTCGGTCCCACCTAGAGCTGTGATTGAGGTCCTCCAGGCTGGCTGTTCTCGGCAGTGTCCTAGATCAGTAGGCTGACTGTGTACAGCTCTGCTGGGGGTTGTGCACCTAGTATAGGGCTGGCCTTCAACTCCTTCTTGTTCTTGTTCTTGTTCTTGAAAGTAGTTTTGTTGGAGCAAGGCCATCTGTTTAGATATCACCCATCGGCTTTCATGCGACCATGGTAGAGTTAAGTAGTTATGGCAGACAGCGTGGCCTGAAAATTCTGCCGCCTTTTCAAAAATTTTTGAAAACTTCTGTGTATGTGTGTGGGTATGTGCGCCACAGTGCAAATGCTACCAGAGGTCTTGGCCACCCTGGAGCTGGAGTTACCAGTGGTTGTGATCACCCTGACATAGGTGCTGGCATCTAAACACTGAACCTCCACAGGAGAACACACCCTAAACCTGTGAGCCATCTCTTAGTTCCCTGGGGTCCCCTTTATAGAGTGACTTAGTGGCTGGTGGGGTTTGAAGTCCTTTCTGATGACTGCCAGTAGGGAGCAGTTATTTCCTTCAATTATTTAATGATAAAAAGTTTTCATTTAAACCTGCCCTGGCATTGCAGCCTCTGAGCACAAAGGTGGTTGGCCTGTCTCACCTGTCTGAGAAGCTGTAGCTCACCCAGCTTGCTTGGATGAGATCCCAGAGAACGGAGGAGCTGGAGCAATGGTGGTGTCTAAACTGGCCTATGCATGTAGGTCTGAAAAGGGTGGACTTGAGTAGAGCCAGGCCAGCTCCCAAAGGGAAAGACAAGGAACCATAACTGCAAATGCCCCTTACATATTTAGCCTCTAAATACAAGCAACCACACTTTTAATTTTTTTACAGGAAAACCACTGGAATTTGCTCCTGGGTAAATAAAACTGAACCTAGAGGATAATAGTCATTTAGTCTAGTATTTCTTTGTGTGTGATGTTTCTAATTTCACAAGACGTATTCCAATCTCATCTTTTCCTCTTCCATCTTTTCACCGGACAAAAGACTAGCCTTCCCATGACCTCAGTACCTCTGAACTTGTTTGGAAACACCATGTACAAATACATTTGGGTGCCCCAGAGCTCCCTGCCGCCTGAGGAGAAGCAGGAGGGGTTTCAGAGGCTGTCCGTCCTGTAGCTCCAAAACCATCGCTGCCTGCATGATTAAGTAGAGGTCTTCGCTGTGAATTGGCCGGTAGTTTAGAATGCTGTGACAGTTGAGAACATGCTTATCTCAAATGTGCAGTAGAAAGGAAATTACAGGAATTTAAGATAATTGAAAAACTGCAGTTAGTGGATGCACGAGTTCACCTTGGTGGTCTCTGTATCCCTTGCTAGGATTCTATCACAGTTCATATCAGAAGTACCAAAGGACCCATTGACGTGTATCTGTGTGAAGTCGAACAGACCCACTCAAGTGGTAAAACAGCCGATGGAGTAGAGGCCTCTCCATCTAAAAGCAGACATCCAGAATGCCCAGCAAAAGGTAAAAGCGCCCATTTTGTGATCAGAGGAACATTAAGGTTCCAGCGTCTTAGATGTAACTTTTATACACAGCTTCAAGTTTTTTGTTTTTGTTTTTGTTTTTTTTGTTGTTGTTTTTAAATTTTTATTTATTTATTATATATACAACATTCTGCCTGCATGTATCCCCTGCAGGCCAGAAGAGGGCACTAGATCTCATTATAGATGGTTGTGAGCCACCATGTGGTTGCTGGGAATTGAACTCAGGACCTCTGGAAGAACAGTCAGTGCTCTTAACCTCTGAGCCTTCTCTCCAGCCCCAGCTTCAAGGTTTTTTAATGATCTTTGTTTATTTCTAATTAGGTATAGGTTTGTGTGTGAGTGTGTGCACATGAGTGTAGGTATCCTGGGAGGCCAGAGGCATTGGATCCCCCTGGAGCTGGGAATCCAGGCTCTTGTGAGCCAGCAGGTGTGGGTGCTAGAAAAGGAACCCTGGTCTTGGGGAAGAGCAGTCCTGGCTTGGTGAGGAGCAGTGGCTCTCTTCACTGCTGACCATCTTTCCAGTCTCTGTGCCGGGGGTATCTATGCACTCCTGTAATCCTAGCCCCGGGGAAGCTGAAGCAAGCAGATCCAAATTACAGATTGGCCTCAACTACACAGTGAGAGCCTGGGACTAAGAGTGTGAGAGTTGATTGTGTGGGGACACCAGCCGGTAGACTCTGGACAGAGGAAGCTGTCTGCGCTGTCTGGAAGGTGCTTTCCAACCCCAGTCTGGAATTCCTGTTTGTTCTGTGAGCCTAAAAAGACCATTCTGACCACTGGTGCAAGAGAAGGTTCTTGACCAGACGACTTCAGTCTTGAAGTTGTTGAATAGTGGGCCTGGCTGCTGTTCCAGCCTTCACTAAGTTTCTTTATGTGTCTCATTTCAGAAGACACGTGTCCTCAGTGAGAGTCACTCAAAGTGAGCAACTGACGGCAGTACGGAGTGGTGAAGGTGTTTGGAGCCTCCTATGTGGATGAGTTATGTGCCGGTTTGGTCCTCAGCAATAAGTCTTCGGGGAATGCTCTCATTCTCCTACCGTAGATTCGTAGCGGCATGAAGGCCAGCAGTGTCCCTGAGTAGCTTCCTGCTTAGGTCCCTGGATGGTTTCCACATTCAAAATTAGCTGTCGCTAATTCTTCGCTGCCTTTTGTCAGTGAGACGGACCTCTTCCCTACCGAGATCATTTTATCACAGAGGATATCAGGAGAACAGACAGCTGGCCATGGTCACAGACTCTGCCCTTCCCTGATGGATGGTGTTTTTGCTTCTCAGAAGAATTGCCTTACACTGGCTCACATTCGCGGTTAGGTGTCGTGCACTGGTGAGGTGTACACACAGGGCCAAATGTGACGCCTTTGTACATAATCTGTATCATGTTTAGATTGCTTATGAAATATGTCTGAGTGACATTTCTACCCAGAACAGCCAAAATAATGTATATAGAGAAAAAGAAAGCTCTCTACTTCCTCAGTATCGATAACTTATTAGAACCCTCTGGGTCAAGGGTGACGGGAGTTTTCTAAAGTTTTACACGTAGACATTTCACATACAGTGCTGTACTTAAAGTATTTTAATACGGTTCCCAGTGCTACAATAGGAGTTAGATACTTCCTGATTTTAAGCTGCCTACAGAGTCACTAAGTCCCAGTAGGTTGGTAGCGTGCCTCAAAGCATTGGGGACAAGTATAGAAATGCAACGGATCAGTGAGTTTGGTCCTGGTGAAAGTAAAAGCATTGTCACGCTTTTCTCAAGCAGATTTTATAATGTGTTTCTGTGTGCAGCTGCGCTGCTCTGTCCGAGGGTCTTTACCTCCCATGCATCATACCCTGCCCACGCTCCCACTCTCACCCTGCCTTCCCAAGCACCTAGCTGTTTCTACCTCAGTGGGTAAGTCATTTACCTCTCTGTGCCTCAGTTTACCACTAGACTGTGAGCTCTGTGAGAAACCTTTTTGTAGTCCCGTTCAGCACCTCGCACCACACCTAGTCCATAACAAGTGCCCAATAAATGTCTAACAAAGTAGCAAGTAGGTGAGTGCAACGTGGAACATGGCTTATTGTTGTACAGGAGTCTGGGGAACATCATTGGTATGTTAAACCTCTCTTGTTTTACAAAAGATTTGAAGAAATGTGGAATAATGACCATGTATACAAAAAAAAATTAAAATAGGGAATCCAAAATTAAATTATTTTAAAAAAATAAAATAATGCAGCCTGGTGCTTTTGATTCACACAGTCTCTGCTGGTATATGTCAAGATTCCTGGAAACTGCTGGTAATCTGTATGTTTGGCCTCCAGACATCCCTTCCTTTCTTATGTATAAAAGGTGGTTTTTTGTAATTAGATAAAGGATTCGGCAAATTGGTTTTCTACCTTCCTAATACTGCCACTCTTTAATACAGTTCCTCACATTGTGGCAGCCCCCTCCCCAACCGTAAAATTATTTACATTGCTAATTCATAACTGTAATTTTGCTACTGTGATGAATCTCTGTCTTCTGATAGTCTTAGACGTCCCTGTGGAAGGATTGTTCAACCCCAAAGGGATCGCAACCCACAAGTTGAGAACCACTGGCTTAGACGCTACTCATTTCCTCATTGGACTAAGTTGGTGGAATGATTTGAAAAGACAGGGAATGCAAGAGGAATAGCAAAGTGGGTAATAGTTATACTTTGATAGAAGGGAAAGTTCTGGCATCTGTGTGTAAATATCAGGGCCCTGGGAAGAGTTAAGCTTGTAAAGTGCACTGGCAGAGGGTTCATGTGTGATGGTAGAAAACCGGAGAGGGAAGGAGCACATCTTTCTTTAAAGATTTTTTTCTTTATTATGTATACAGTGTTCTGCCTGCATGTATGCCTGCAAGCCAGAAGAGGGCACTAGATCTCATTATGGATGGTTGTGAGCCACCGTATGGGTGGTAGTAATTGAACTCAGGACTTCTGGAAGAACAACTAGTGTTCTTAACCACTGAGCCATCTCTCCAACCCACAATGACCACTTCTTAACCACAGACTTAGAATGAAGTCTCCAGGTGGGCACACTCTTGTGCCCCGCTAACAACCAGAAGTTCTGCTCCTAAGAGGGGAGGGGTGTAGATACAGAATGTAGTACTCATTACAGCAGTTAGCAAACCCTGGCTCTCCCCTCCCGAGGATTAGGAGTCTGCAACTAGTTTCAGCCAGCTGACTATGAGGCAGTTACAGGTCCCAGATCATGCATCCAGCAGATACAAGAGCCAAGGTTTGCTGCAACATCTGAACTACTACATGGGAACAGATCCTCTGCCAGTCCCCATGAGGCGTGAAATGTGTCAAATGTTTAGCTGCAATATAATCTAACCCGTCTTAACTAATGTATGTGGGGACAGCAGATTTCTATAGCCCAGAGTGAAAGAACAATCCCATCAGAATATCCTCATCAGACCAGAGTTTACCTCAATCCCTTGGCAAACCTGAACTGTTGTCTGTTGGTTCTGATCAACAGGGTTGAAATAGTGGTCATTCAATAACATGTGACTGGATCCATTTGCCCTTGGGTAGTATGAATGGAATCCAACACAAGATTGTGTGGTGATTGCCATCTAGTGAGGAATTAATTATTCAGATAGTATTCTCTTTTACTTAAGTAAAATAACATGGCATGGATTTTCTTTTTCATTTTTTTTTTTTTTCAGACAGTTTCTCTGTGTAGCCCTGGCTGTCCTGGAACTGACCCTGCATCAGACTGGCCTTGAACTCAGAGATCTGCCTGCCTCTTGTCTCCCAAGTGCTGGGATTAAAGAAATGTACCACTTCACCCTATTTAGCTTGGATTTTCATTTTGCTTTTTATTTTTTATTTTTGCTTTTGTTTATATCTCGAAACAGGGTTTCTCTGTGTAACCCCAGCTGTCCTAGAACTTGCTCTGTAGACCAAGCTGGCCTTGAACTCACAGAGATATGCCTGCCTCTTTCTCCCAAGTGCTGGGATTAAAGGTATGTACCACCACAGCCCAGCTTTAGCATGGATTTTCAGCAAGCATTTTCAGATACCAGTTAAGTGTAGGACCATTTTTTTTTTTTTTATTTGATCCTCAGTATCCATGTAAAAAGCCTTGTGATGGGTTTCCCTGGGACTCACTGACCAGCCAGCATAGTCAGTCAGTAAGACCCTAGCCAATGAGAGAGTCTGTTTCACAAAACAAGATGTACAGCTCCTAAGGTGTGACACCATTGGTTGTCCCGTGGCCTATACACAGAGGGGAAGAGAGAAAATATGAATGACTCAGGCTGATGAGGTACTTCAGCTTCTTACAAGCATGAAGACACAAGTTTGGTCCCCAGGACCCATATAAAAAGGCTAGATATAGTGGTAAACACTTGTAAACCTATTGCTGGTGAAGTGGAGATGGGGGTCCCTGGGGCTAGCAAGCTCATCAGGTCCCAAGTCAGTTAAAGACTAAGATGGACAGCACCTAAGACATGACACCCAGAACTGACCTCTACCCTCCACAACGCACATACATGTATATCTGCAGGCACACATGCACCTGAACATGTATGAATATGCACAGGCACACACAGTGTACTGCTGTGGTTGTTTGACTGTGAAATGTTTCCCATGGACTCTGATGTTTAATACCTTCCCCCCACCTGGTGGCACTGTTTGGAAAGGTTGTAGAACTTGGAAGGTGGAGCCTTGCTAGAGAAAGTTAACCAGTCACTAAAGGTGACCCTTGGGGATTTATACCCAGCCTTACTATTCATGCTGTCTGCTGATTATGGATGTGCTGTGTCCAGCCATCTTCCTGCCCCTGCTGCCATGCCGTCCCACCATTGAAGACCATAACCCTCAGGAAACTAAACCAAAGCAAACCATTTTTCCCTAAAGTTGCTTGTGTGGGGTATCTTATGACAGCAATGAGAAAGTAAAACGTCTGCCTATGAGCCATTTTCTGTCCTCCAAAACCAACTGCGCAGAGACTTTGACTATCAGATCAGTCCATGACATTGAACCTGTTGAACAGGAAGTATCATCTTACTTAGATGTCTTAGTAAAACATATATGACCGACAGGGTTGTAGATAAACTCATCCTTGGTACCAAGTACAGTATCCTTCCACGGGAAACTACAGAGGCAAGTTGATACAAGAAATTAATTACTCAGATGCTAGAAGGCTATGGTAGCTAAAAGGGAAGGCAATGAGGTAACACTTTCATAAATCCAGAAGTGGCTGCTGCAAGGATATCATAACCCAGTGTCAGAGGAGAGTCTCCTTCCTGCTGTTCCTAAACTCCAGGAGTAGAAGCCACTTACAAGCTGGGACCTCTGCTGGGAAGAGACGCCTTCATCTAGTTGGTGCTCAAGCCTGATGGGTTCTGACATGTCTAATGTGCTTGTCACTAAGGGGACCACAGCTAAGCACTTCTGAGGGATACCATAGCTGCTGCTGTAGCTGCCCGAACAATCTGGCAAGGAACTCTCATTTGTCTTCTAATGCCACAGGAAGGCTGATGGGGGCCAGAACTAGAAAGAGAGTTCTACCGCATGCCTCCCATTCTGCTGCCAGCTAGTCTCCCACGCTGCAGTTAGCAAGGGAAGTATAGGGGTTGTGGTTTGCAGAGCCCCAGTCCCAGGGCCACAGGTCAGGAAGCAAAAGGGTGAACTTGGACCTGAGAGACTGTAGAAAATATTTGACATTCCCTTCCCACTCAAGATGGCTCTGTGGAGTGGCAGTCAGCTCTGTCCCTGGCTCACTGCCACAGACACATCTTACAAATAGAAATGATTGACTGATTTAACTGATAAGATGCCTTTGCAGTTCTTATTCTGGAATCCTGAGTCCAAGTTGACATAGACATGAGTCATCGTTCCTGAGGGATTTTGTTCCCATAGCGTGTTTTGTTGCAAGACCCTAACTGACAAATGCTTACCGTTCTCTCCGGGATCATGGCCCCTACCTCATCTCATTCCCCTCTGTGGCAATTGGTAGGAGACTTGGCAATAACTATATAAGTAAGGTTC